AATACGCGTGTTGATGCACGGTGTGGACCGAGGCACCGAGCAATGCATACCTGTGTTACTCTTGAGTGGCTCATGGGTCCACACTTGTTTAATATGCACGTGAAGTATGTTACTCTTGGGTGGCTCATGGAGTATGTTCCAAGTTTTTTGTATGTTCTGTTACATTTTCTCGCAAGTCTTTGTACACCAAGTAGGTAGCTAGAAAGATGGGATTTGTGGCACGCAGGTGCTGGGGCACCGACCCTATCTTTTGGGCTTTCGATTTTGAGTCTTTTGCATCTTTTTAACCGAAAGTTCAAATTAAGTTTGAATAGGTTTTAATGAGTTTTTAAAATTTCAAGTGTGAAACTTCATACGAATGAACGACAAAATCATCAAGTTTTATACACTAAAACTTAAAATTTGGCAATGCCCTCGTGCAGAATCCAATGACTATGTGGATAGTGAAGCAATCGTGAAGCAATGGTGCGGCCAGGCAGGTGCGTGCCCTGTGAATTTCCGGCTAGGCCATTTCAGCCGGCAATCATGAAGCAGTCCTCTAAAGTTTACGACCATATTTCAACCTGGTTTTTCTTGTAACTTGATGCGTCTGTACGATTCCGTTCTTTAACACCAGCATCGAGGTTCTTGCGCGGCGCAGATGCGGGAGCTCCCATTTGGTTCCCCGCTCGCACGAACCACGTCGCCTAGCACCGATTAATTTTGTATTCCATCTCTAAAACTTCTCGGGGGGCATTTTACAATTGCTACCGGGCGTGGTGACCATGACCCACATGCACTTCTATAAGCAATACTTTTGTACGGCCTACTACTCTCGTTGCACTCCTCCCTTTTTGTCGATCACACACACGGCATCTGAGCCAGCTCCGCGAGCCGGAGATGCCGCGCCGATGGATGGAGGCGCGGCGCGGCGCGGCTGGCCGGGTCAAATTTCGCGGGTTTTCTCACGTCCCTGTCTGCCATGGCAGGCCTTGAACCGCGCTTACGTGGTGCTTGGAATGGTCCGGCGACTGGTTTCCTGGGCACGGCCATCGAATGGATTTGTCTCAGACTCTCGGTGTCACGGCAGTTGCCGTCTTGCCGAGTCGAATATTCGTAGCTTTGTCGCCGGATGTGTGCGTCAAGATTTCTCGAGACTTCTGAGTGCACCAACTAGTGGTCTTTTGATTTTGTGGTGTCCCGGTTTTCACACGATGTGACGGTAACCTGATAAGTAACCGTTTCACTTGTAAACAGGCCATCACGCTTTACCGGGTGCCCAGGACTTCATCAGGTGTTGACATTCCTGAAGCACTGGCCCGTCTTTGGGGTTTGTTTTTGGTGCCTGACCTGCCTGGTCAAGGAAGCATGCCACTGGGAATGAGGCAGCGGCCAGAGTAGTCAACAAAGGATGGAAATGACGGCAGATAGAGTGGTGCACTGGTCCGCGCTCGCGCTCCACGCCGAGCAGCTGTTTCAGACTCATTTTTCTCACCGGAGACCGTTTCCGCTTCGTGCCATGGAAAATTTCCGCGGACGCAGCCGGCGGTGGCAACCGTGGGCGGCGGCGAGGACGCTGGGACGCGGGTGCGGGAGGCCATGCCGGCGAGGCCCTACGGCGTGGGGAAGGGGCGGTAGAAACCCCAAGAAGTACGCGGTGACATGCCGACCGACTGGGATCAGGTGACATGCGCTACGGTGATATGTGACCTAAATTCAAATTTAAACATTGCGAAAAAATCTAAAAAAAATCATGCATGTTCACATCACATATTAAGATAATCCCTAAAAATTTCAGATCAAAATTCAAAACATAATCGAGAAATAAAAAAGAAAAACTCATATGTGAATAGTCTAGAGAGAACCGTTCGGAAACTATTCATGACAGATTTCTCTTTTTTGTTTCTCGATGTATGTTTCGAATTTTGATCTGAAATTTTTAGAGCTTATCTTAGTATGTGCTATGAACATGCATAACTTTTTTCAGATTTTTTCGCAATGTTTAAATTTGAATTTGAGCCGCATGTCACCGTGCATGTCACCGTAGCACATGTCACTTGATCCCAGTCCCATGCCGACATGCTGAGGGAAAGTTTGGACGGGGGGCGTGGTGTTTTTCAGACTAAACACGTTCACTTTATTAATTAAATAATAATGTTCAGGCAGATACAATTTAGTATTCCCTTCGTCTCATAATATAAAAGCATTTTTAACATTAGCATTAGTGTCAAAAACACTCTTATATTATAGAACAAAGGGAGTAGATTCGAAAGTTGAAGAAGCCACGAATGGCGTCCTTCAGGAAGACCTATAGCATATTTACCGAGGCTACCGAGGCTATGTGTCTCAATGTTCGAACTTCTACCTTCGAAGATGAAGGTGCGGGACTGAAATTGTGCGGCTGTAGCTACGATCTCTATAATGATGATGTTGCCATGCATGCCTCTAGTATGACTGTTGATGTCATTCATGATCTCTTTGCAATTTGAAGCAATCAAAACATGGGCGATAGAGAGATCATTAGCTAGAGCCAGCGCTTCTCTACACGGGATAATACGGGATAAAAGAATCTTCAACCGCCACCCCCCCTACTTTGCCCCATATGCTCGGGCATATCATCACAGCTATATTCTTTGTCATAAAACGCCACTCAACCGAGCAGTGGCAGAGCTAGCTTGGGATGACTGGGGAGGCTACAAAAATAAATTCTTGCAGGGGTAAAAGTCTGTATGCGGCTACAAAAATAAATTCTTCAGAAAAAATCCCAAGGCTGGGGGGCAATGCCCCCCCTCCCCCAGCCTCAACATAGCCCCGCCACTGCAACTCGGCTCTCAACGGTCCATATGCCTGGGTTGTTCGACATCTCTCAAACCAACTTCATATGTGGGGTGGATTTAGGCTCGGACGTGCCACGCCAATTACGCCGGATCCACCCCAAATCTCTCTAAACTTCCCCAATCCTCCTCTGCCCTGCCCTCTTCCACTCTTCTTCCTCGTTCGCATTACCCCTTTCCTAGCTCTGGTGTCGTTCCAACCCTAGATTTGCCGATGTCCCCATCCTGCGACGCCGTCACCAGGGGCCCCAAACCCCTCACGACCATAATTGCCGCCTCAGACACGGTAGCCACCTTGAAAGTGGCACTAGTACGCTATACACCTTGCCTGCCATGTGTTCGAAGAAATGTCCAAGCTAATTTTGATATTCTTTACTTGTTTGTAGGCAAGTGGTGGATTAGCCAGATGATGATTTTGGTTACAAAGAGCTTGATGAGTACATATTTAGAGGGTTCATTGGTTCGTTCAATTCAAACATCGATGCCGACGAAGATGTTGACATGATGATGATGCATCCAGGAAGAAATGGAGAAGTAAGAGGAACATGTTTGCAACTTCAAGGGTTCGACAAAAGAGCAGGCCCGTTGTTTCTAGGGATATGATAAGTGGCGCACAACTTCAAACCCAACCCGGTATATTTTATGAGTTTTTTTTTGGCGTCGCTTCGAGATGAGCACTCATTTATTCTTGCCCATAGTGAATGGGGTGAAGGCATGTGATCATTACTTCACACCGAGGAAGGATTGTTGCGGACAACTGTCATTCTCTCAGTTGCAGAAATGAATGACTACTATGAGGATGTTGCATAAGGTAAAGCTATAAATGTTGTTGATGAGTACGCCCGGCTGTGAAAATCACATGCATTGATGCCATGGAGCAATTTACCTACACGGAGTACTCAAGAGAACCAAATGTCAAGGACACATAAACATTATTAACATTTGGAGTAGCAAGAGGTCTTTTAGGTATGCTTAGTTCAGTCTATTGTATGTATTGGCGATGGAAAAAATTGTCAGACCAGTTTGCACGGGCAGTACCAAGAGAAAACCAAAGAGGCCACCATCATACTTGAAGTAGTGGCGTCAAAGAACTTGTGAATTTAGCATGCTTTCTTTGGCATGCTAAGTTCTCACAACAACATCAATGTGCTTCAGGGATCTCCGCTGCTCAAGAGACCTTGTGTTGGGGATGCTCCTGCGTGCAACTACACCATCAACGCGCATGACTATAACATGGGGGTACCACCTTGTCAATTGTTTTTATCCTCGGTGTGGGACGTTTGTGAAAACTATACCCAATCCCCAAGATAAAAAAGATGCCTCTTTGCACAAATGCAAGAAGTTGGGAGGAAGGATGTGGAAATGCCATTTGAAGCGCTTCAAGCCTGTTGGGGTATTGTTCGTGGAGGTGCAGTGATGTGGGATCCTGAGACATTGCGGCACGTGATGACCTGTTCTGTAATCTTGCACATCATGATTATGGAGGATGAGGGAGAAAGGAGCAGCCCACACACATGATTTTGACAAGGTGAAGTGCATGCCCGCCTCCCAGAACAAGATGCAGAGCATGTTGTGAACTTTCTAGAGATGCATCGACAATTCCAAGATACACAGATGCATGTGCAACTACTCAATGATCTTGTGGAACATATGTGGATCCACACTGAATATAAGTTTTATTTGTGTGTTATATTCATTGTTTATGTGTATTCGCATCATGCAATGGTCGGTCGTGTGTGTGTGTGTTTGCATGGGTTTGAGATTTTGAAGATGGAGGGTCTCTACGAGACCGGCCCAGGTTGGCATCCTCTCCTTTTCTGGGGAAGCGTATTGAGTGAGTTTGCTGACGCAGCGTGGTCAACCAGCGCGTAATATGGCGGACCAGACGGTTTGTCCTCCCACTTCAGATAGAACGGGCCAAGAACACACACCAATGCGAAGGAAACGGGAAACTCCCAAGACGCAGCATTTCATTTTTTTTCTTCTTTTTTTGATGATGGGAAGATGCAGCATTTCTAAAAGCCCCCATAGGGTACGTAGTCATGCCAGAAGGTAAAACGTACAGCTTGAAAAAATTCTAGGAGCGAAGTGTATGGCAACCAAAGAAAAAAAATGTCTGAAGAAAGACTGAACCCCAACGATCAGAGCACATCTTGTGCACTCAGCGCAGGCACGGCGCCGTGAAGCTCACTCGCTGGCTTGGACGTCTGCTCCTTCTCCTGTGACTGCAGCAGCAGCGTCCGCCTTGTCAAAGTCCTCGAAGCTGAGGCTCAGAGTTTGCAGCTTGAAACCAACTCCCTGGATGGCTTCCACCAGGTTTGAGGCGACCCCGGTAGCTTGGACTGTTGTCGCCTTCGTTAACTGCAGTTGCTCCAGCAAAAACATACATCAACGGTGATAATGTATCACATAACCTTACGAAATAAAATGGCATGAATAGAACATAGAACTTTATATTAAATAAATTCGCTTCTGCAGCCATGCATCAAGGCTCTTGAAGCTGGAAATGGAATGAATTATTACAGAGTGAGAAGACTCTTAAAAATGAGCACATGCATATTAATTGTTCTAGAACTGATGTGCAGGTGGCTACGGAGGTTTTTTCCCAACATGGGTGGCAGCATAACCTCCGGATCGATCCACCACCACCTTCGACATAGGCATAGTGTCAGCCTATAGGACTCTACTGTTGCCGATATGTCGGTTTTATTTCATGTTTTTTGTCAAACTTTTGGATTTGGCTGTGTGCATCTTTAGTTATGCAGAGGCCTGGTGTTACTCATAATGCTTTGTATCCGTTCGATACTACATTCTGAGATAATAAAAACGTCCTTTATCAAAAAAGAACTGCAACGTTTTGGCTATTGCTGGCAGCTAAGTTTAACCCTTTTTTTGTCTTGTACTTTTTGGGCTAACAAAACACTGCAGTTTATGCTAGGCTCTGGATGTTTCAACAAACTAAGGAAAATGAAGGTGTTTCATTTCCTCGCACTGTAAGGAAAATGAAGTTTAGAAGTATGAGGAAACTTGAAAATAAATATGACTTCTTGGTGAAAATAGAAATTTGTCAAGAAATCAGTGTGAACTGTTCTACATCTTAACTATTTGGAGTTTCGATCTTGATCTGTTTTTTTTTAAAAAAATTCAAATAAAAACAAAAGTGGTCTTCAAGTTTCAACTTAAATGGTATTTTTCTAACATGACGATATAACTACATAGTGAAAAATCAGATAAGTGCTTACCACATAGTGACCTAACTGATATTTTTTGTTGTTGTGCTTTCCAGGTGCCCTGAGGATAGAACCACTGCAAGGAACTTTCCTTGTTCCTCACCACATTGTCCGTAACGGCGTTTTTGTTTGTAAAATGTTGCGACTACAACTCACTTTTATAAGCATAATGGATACAAAAATATACAGCGTTGCTCTCATCTCTCCTGATTATATTTCCATGGTTAATCTGTCAGCAATAGAGACAGGATTACAGGAGTAGCTTGCAGTGACCTTTGTAGCTAATTGTGTTTTGCTTTCTTCTTTTGATTCTTTCAGATAACTTGAGTGCCAGACAAAAAGAAATTATAGACATTTGTGGGTTTTCCTTTTGACAGGAGTTTGTAGGAAAGAAAATCGTTTGGGCCTAGAATTAAGAGCCTACTATCGAGACTACTTACTATCTGACGATAATGCTCTCTCTGCTTGTAAGGCAGTCTTTTCTTGTGCTTGCAGAGTACACTTCTCATGGTACAATGTGGCTGAGAAATAGATTGATCACATGAGCGCTCATGTTTACAAAATTGGGATAATGGTTTGAGCATATGACTGTAGACAGATAAGTATATTCCACGCAAAAGAAATGCACATATATACGTGCACACTGAATACTAGGAGCAGTGGACGATGAAAAATCAGGAGCAGAGGGGGCAAATTTACCACAACACTTCCGATGCCTTCTTCGATAAGCACCTCCAGGTCAGTGACGCCATCCATCCCCTACAACACACACGCACATGTTCACCTCAATCGACGGTTGATTTACCGGCCGACGTTCATCGTCCATCCCAATCAGCAACAAATCAATCAATCAGTGAATGTCACCTCGAGGGCCTGGGTGATCTTGGGAACAGCCCTCTCCTCCATGGTGCCCTCGGCCTTGAAGTATAGGATGAGGGACTCGGTGGTGTAGGCGGGGGCGCCGGCGGCCTCGGCCACCTCCGCGGTGGCCGCGCGGACCACCGCCAGGCGGCCGCTCCGTCTCCTGCTCCTTGGCGCAGCTCCGCCGGCGACGCGGGAGAGCTGCACGGAGGCGCGGCGAGGGAGCAGGGGCGCCGCGGGCGCGGGGCGGAGGAGGTGGGTGGACGCCGGCGACGACATCGTCATCTCTTCTTTGTCCTTCAACGGCTCTTCCTCCTCTTATCCTCGAATGCTTTCTTCACTCCTGAAGCTTATCATTTTGCTGGGACCTCGCTCGACTCGTCTGCGCGGGGCCGGGGCGCTTGTTGAGGCCTTGAGCGCGCGTCTTCTGTACCTCAAGCGAGGTCGGCCCAATAGGGTCGCGTGGGTCCGCTACGTTTCGTTCGTTTTTTCCTCTCATTTTTTCTTCTTTCTTTTTTACTTTTGTTTATATATTTGAAATATTTAAATACAAAAATAATTGTTTCAAAATATCAAAATATTTCATCACGCAACCAAAAAAATTCACACGTTTCAAAAAATATTTGTGACATTTAAAAAAAGTTCGTGCATTTCAAAATTTGTTTCAGAAATTTAAATAGAAGTATACAATGTAAATAAATATATGCGTGATTTAATAAAAAATTATACCATTAAAAAAATGTTCCCAAATTTCAAACATATGTTCTCGACATTTAAAACATATTTATAAAATGTTAAAATATATATTTTGGTAAGTAAAAAAAAGTTACGAATATTCCAAAAAATGTTTGTCGCATTTAAAAGAAATCTAACAGTTAACAAATGGTTTGCATGTTTAAAAAACATGTTCATAGCGTTTATGCATAATGTTCAATGTGTGTTAAAAAAATTCATCGTGTATCAAAAAATGTTCAACATGTATTTGAGAAAAATGTTCAACCCATAATTGGAAATACTCAACGTGTATGTGAAAACTGATAATCATGTATACGAAAAATGTTCTATGTGCATTTGAAAAATGTTTGCGTGTATTTCAGGAATGAAGGAAAAAATAAAAGGAATGGAAGACAATAATAAATAAATGAGGACAAAAAAAGGAGAAAATCAAAAGGAAAAAAATCGATATAGAAAACACATAGAAAAGATCACGCGGAAATTTCAACTAGTCCAAACCGGTCCATATTAGCTTTCTAAAACCACAAAATACACCTGGGTCTGCATGCTAGCGGCGCCAGGGGCAAGACGAGATGAGCTACCACCTCGTAAAGAGTGAGATATAGCTCTCGTGTTGTTTGGTACACACGGGACTAGGAGCAGGGATGGAGCTTAGTTAAAACAAAAGTGGGTGGTGGTCCGCCCAGCCTTAGGCCAAATCATTGAATAAGGTGAAATTGGGTCTGGGAAGCTAAACTTGTGTGCTTTTCTTCAATTTAGCCCGTCCAATAATATTTTGGTACCTCCTCCACTGCTTGCGAGGGCTTTCAGGGATTTTCCCTGTTGGGCTGAAAAGCCCAAAAATACCCAGAGTGACGTTTTCGACACATGGTTTGATAGTTTCTGCCTCGTTCTATCTCCGGAGTTCCCACCATCGAGGTGGACCGTGCAGCTTTGACCTTCCTTCAGCCGAGGTAGATCCCAGACGATGCGTGCTTGAAAGATCGTGTCGCCTAGAGGAGGGTGAATAGGCGCTTTAAAATAATTATGATTTAGGTTTGAACAAAAGCGGAATAAAACTAGTGTTTAATTTGTCAAGCACAAAACCTAAAACAACTAGACTCACCTATGTGCATCAACAACTTATGCTAGGCAAGATAAACAATTAGGTGATATCAAGAAAGATAACATGAAACGCTATGGCTATCACAAAGTGAAGTGCATAAGGCTCGGGTAAGAGATAACCGAGGCACACAGAGACGACAATGTATCCCGAAGTTCATACCCTTGCGGATGCTAATCTACGTTTGGAGCGGTGTGGAGGCACAATTCTCCTCAAAAAGCCACTAGGGCCACCATAATCTCCTCACACCCTCGCACAATGCAAGATGCCGTGATTCCACTAAGGGACCCTTGAGGGCGGTCATCGGACCTATATAAATGACAACCCTTGGGGGCGGTCACCGAACCCATAAACTTTTGGCAACCCTTGGGGGCGGTCACCGGTACCCGTCAAATTGCTCGGGGCGATCTCCACGACCTAATTAAAGACCTCGACGCTTGCCCGAAGCTTTACACCATAATAATTGAGCTCCAAACACCACCAACCATCTAGGGTGCCCAAGCACCCAAGAGGAACAAGCTCCAGGGTACCAAGCACCCAAGAGTAATAAGTTTCTCAACTTGTAACTTCCACGTATCACCATGGGGAACACAAAACAGTGCAACTAATGCAATGGCAAGGGCACACGAAGTGCCCAAATCCCTCACTCTCAAATCCCATCAAAGCAACTAAAGCTATGGAGGAAAAGGAGAAGAAGAACAAGAAGGAGAACACCAAGAACTTCAAGATCTAAATCCAAGGGGTTCCCCTCACATAAAGGAGAAAGTGATTGGTGGAAATGTGGATCTAGATCTCCCCTCTTTTTTCCCCCAAAAAATAGCAAGAATCCATGGAGGGATTGAGAGATAGCAAGCTCGAAGAAGGTCAACAATAGAGAAAGAACACGAACTCAAGAGATAAGTTTCAATGGGGAAGAAGACCTCCTTTTATAGGTGAAAAAAATCCAACCGTTATGTGCTCAGCCCGCACACGAGCGGTACTACCGCTCCATCGAGTGATACTACCGCTCGGGCGGTAGTAACAAGAAAATAGAGCAACAACAAAGAACCTTTGGGCGGTAGTGCCGCCGAAGCGGTACTGCCGCTCATCCCAGTGGTACTACTGCGGGAGAAGCAGAACACATGAGCAGAATAGGCAGGGCAGAGCATAGCGCGGCGATAGTATTGTAGTAGCGGTACTACCACCCAATAGGGATGGTACTACTGCTTATAGGCGGTGCTGCCGCACCTCACTTCCGCCCTACTACTGCTGAACACGACACGAAAAATAGGACCCCAAGAAAGCAGCGGTAGCAGCCGCGGAACTGACAACAAAAGTATCGCTTACAAGCGGTACTACCGCTTGACATGGACGGTACTACCGCTTACAGGCGGTACTTGTTGGGGAACGTAGTAATTTCAAAAAATTCCTACGCATACGCAAGATCGTGGTGATGCATAGCAACGAGAGGGGAGAGTGTTGTCCACGTACCCTCGTAGACCGAAAGCAGAAGCGTTAGCACAACGCGGTTGATGTAGTCGTACATCTTCACGATCCGACCGATCAAGTACCGAACGCACGGAACCTTCGAGTTCTGCACACGTTCAACTCGATGACGTCCCTCGAACTCCAATCCAGCCGAGTGTTGAGGGAGAGTTTCGTCAGCACGATGGCGTGGTGATGATGATGATGTTCTACCAACACAGGGTTTCGCCTAAGCACCGCTACGATATGATCAAGGTGGATTATGGTGGAGGGGGCACCGCACACGGCTAAGAGATCAAGAGATCAATTGTTGTGTCTTTAGGGTGCCCCCTGCCCCCGTATATAAAGGAGTGGAGGAGGGGGAGGGCCGGCTCTCTCTATGGCGCGCCCTAGGGAAGTCCTACTCTCACCGGGAGTAGGATTCCCCCTTTCCTAGTAGAACTAGGAGCCCTTCCAAGTAGTAGGAGTAGGAGGGAAGGAAAGGGAAGGGAAAAGGAGAAGGAAGGAAGGGGGCGCCCCCTCCCTAGTCCAATTCGGACCAGCCCATGGGGAGGGGTGCGGCCACCCTTTGAGGCCTTTCTCTCCTTTCCCGTATGGCCCATTAAGGCCCAATACGAATTCCCGTAACTCCCCGGTACTCCCGAAAATACCCGAATCACTCGGAACCTTTCCGATGTCCGAATATAGTCGTCCAATATATTGATCTTTATGTCTCGACAATTTCGAGACTCCTCGTCATGTCCCCGATCTCATCCGGGACTCCAAACTCCTTCGGTACATCAAAACACATAAACTCATAATATAACCGTCATCGAACTTTAAGCGTGCGGACCCTACGGGTTCGAGAACTATGTAGACATGACCGAGACACGTCTCCGGTCAATAACCAATAGCGGAACCTGGATGCTCATATTGGCTCCTACATATTGTACGAAGATCTTTATCGGTCAAACCGCATAACAACATACGTTGTTCTCTTTGTCATCGGTATGTTACTTGCCCGAGATTCGATCGTCGGTATCTCAATACCTAATTCAATCTCATTTACCGGCAAGTCTCTTTACTCGTTCTGTAACACATCATCCCGCAACTAACTCATAGTTGCAATGCTTGCAAGGCTTAAGTGATGTGTATTACCGAGTGGGCCCAGAGATACCTCTCCGACAATCGGAGTGACAAATCCTAATCTCGAAATACGCCAACCCAACAAGTACCTTCGGAGACACCTGTAGAGCACCTTTATAATCACCCAGTTACGTTGTGACGTTTGGTAGCACACAAAGTGTTCCTCCGGTAAACGGGAGTTGCATAATCTCATAGTCATAGGAACATGTATAAGTCATGAAGAAAGCAATAGCAACATACTAAATGATCGGGTGCTAAGCTAAAGGAATGGGTCAAGTCAATCACATCATTCTCCTAATGGTGTGATCCCGTTAATCAAATGACAACCCATGTCAATGGTTAGGAAACTTAACCATCTTTGATCAACGAGCTAGTCAACTAGAGGCATACTGGTGACACTCTGTTTGTCTATGTATTCACACATGTATTATGTTTCTGGTTAATACAATTCTAGCATGAATAAGAAACATTTATCATGATATAAGGAAATAAATAATAACTTTATTATTGCCTCTAGGGCATATTTCCTTCAGTCTCCCACTTGCACTAGAGTCAATAATCTAGTTCACATCTCCATGTGATTTAACACCAATAGTTCACATCACCATGTGATTAACACCCATAGTTCACATCGTCATGTGACCAACACCCAAAGGGTTTACTAGAGTCAACAATCTAGTTCACATCGCTATGTGATTAACACCCAAAGAGTACTAAGATGTGATCATGTTTTGCTTGTGAGAGAAGTTTAGTCAACGGGTCTGCCACATTCAGATCCGTAAGTATTTTGCAAATTTCTATGTTAACAATGCTCTGCACGAAGCTTCTCTAGCTAATTGCTCCCACTTTCAATATGTAT